CATAGGAGCAGAAAGGCTGATGAAGGGTCTAGGCCCGAAACGTCAGCCTTTCTGCTCCTATGATGCTGCTTGGCCTGCTGTGTTCATCCAGCTCTGCACCTTGTTGTCTCTAATATCAAGTGTGATTTCTGTTATGACTCCAGCTGATGGAAGTACTGGACAAGTCAGATCTCAGAGTGATAGACTTTGTTTAGCTAACTTGGTTAGTTACTGAAAGAGGTTGCAGGTGTTCTTAAACAAAACATAATATTTTATTACACAAGAAAAATGTTAAACCAAGCTATAGTTATAAAGATTTCAACAAACATTAAAGTTCCAACCTTTTCCCCAATTCTATCCAGAGATTCAAGTCCAGAGAAATATTCTATTTCAACTATAGGTTTATTTAAATGATTCCTTCCAGCTTCTCTCACTGGAATTTGAGAGACAATTTTATGATTTCTCAGTGTGATAGCATGAACCTTTTCAAAATTCTGATGGCCTAAACTTCTCAATTCTAGCAACCTGAGGATTTCTATCCCAAAGTCTCCTGGCTTGAAAATTTCACGAATTAGGAAAAAACACTGCTACTACAGTAAAATAGAACAAAGAAATTGGAAACAGAAATCGCTGGAGAAACTCAGGTGTGGTGAGAAAGTAGTCAAGCAGAACTGAAAAACAGAGTCACTGGACTCAAAACTCTGCTTTCTCTCCACAGGTGCTACTAGACCAGAGTTTCTCCAGCAATTTCTGTTTTTGTTACTGCTACTACAATGACTGGGTGGCTCTGGACTGAATTGAACCTAACGGAGCCAAGTCCTTGGTTGCATGCGTGTGTCTTCTTGGAACTGGTGCATCTTAGTCAGAGTTCCACAATGGCTTTGCCCTATATTAAAAACCTTCATAACATTAACTCCCAACTAAATGATTTTCTTTGTAAAGCAGCAAATTCCAAAGAATGACAATATCTTTTATAAACCTTACATCACATTCCAGCCAGAAATTTAATGAACTTGATTCAGGAAGAAGAATACCTCAGTTGATGCTAGACTAAACTATCAAAAACTGTGCTAATCACTGTGGTCTAAAGAGAAAGAAACTTCCATAAGTCAATCAAAAGCTACAATTCTAGAGCCTTTAATACAGAAAACAGTCAGATGGGTGGAACAATGGCAAATAGAATTTAATCCTGAAAGCAAGAGGTAATGCATTTGGGGAGGACTAACAAGACAAGAGAATACATGATGAATGGTTGATCCCTGGGTAGCACCGAGAATCAGAAGGACGTTGGTGAAAATGTCCATTGGTCCTTGAAGGCAACTGGACAGGGGGACAGGGTGGTTAAGGCAGCATATGGAATACTTGTCATTATTAGTCAATGCACCAA